TTTGAGAGAGAATGTGCACATGTGCACAGGCCCGTGCTGTCAGCGCAGAGCCCATCTTGGGTTCCATCTCATGAACCGTGAGATCATGACCTGAGCCAAAATCAAGAGTCAGAAGCTTAACCAACTGAGCCACCCAGGCATCCCAAAAATGACAAGCTTTTAATGCATGCACAGAAATTAACAATCCCAGCCTCCCAGTTTTCACATCAGTAGCAATTTGCATGCCCATGGACTGTAATTCTTATAGGTTATTACAAATAATTTTTATATAATAAAGACATTACCATATATGTATCTGAGTTGGGTTTAGGTTCATAATATAGGCTGATATTAGTACAATGGCAGAAAGAGCCTTTGGGTAGGTATAGAAATGGAAATATCTAAATAGTTAAAAAAATACTAATGTAATTAAAATAATGTTTGAGATGGTTAAAATAACAAAACATTTTAAGTTTTAATTATTGTAAGAAATTTGCATAGGAAGTAATATGTGAAACTAACTTGATTTAAAGATGTTATGTTCCAGGATATAATTTTTAAATTTTGATACCATTAGAATAATTAGTGGTCTCTGATATGATTTCATAGAGCTGTAATCAATACCAAATAACAGAAATTTTAAATTTTGTTGCACTTACTGTTTTAATATAAATCAAGATTGTACAATGCTTTGAAATCTTGAAAAGGCTTCTATTCTGGTATTGGTATCACATCGTTTACTTAAGGAATGTCCTACTTTGATAATTCCTGTTTAGAGTAATTCAGCTACCTTACTTTTCAATTTTTATTATATAATTTAAATGTTATTGTGGAGTCTTGTAAACTGTTTCAAATCCTCTGAGAACAATACAGGAAACAACAGAAACATAGCTTAAAGTACTTAAAAACTGGCATTTTCATCTGGAATAATTATTCATGTTATATTTGAGATATCCAAGCCCAGGAAGAAATGTTTATGGTAAAACAGTTTTCATCATTCTATAGCCATTTGCACAAATTTAGTCTTTATACTTCCAGAAACATATTTCTACTTTATATAAAATACCATATATATTTAACTTTAATTTTCAACCTTGAGAAAATTAATTGTTTAGAATAGTAAAATATGCCCTGGTCACAAGTCTTTTATAATGTAATTTAACAATTTATTTAGTTGTATTGAAGATACATACATACATACATACATATAGATAGATAGATAGATGTATATATATATATATATATATATATATATATATGTATATATACACACACAGACTTACTAGTAATAGGTCTTTTTAAATTATGAGATTGTGTACATTCCTAAGTTTCCATTTTCATGTATTTTAAAGCCTTTTGTGTTTTTCTTTTCACTTTTTGAATGAATCAGAGACCAGAATTGAGTGGAATGCTATCTTAAACAAGTCAAAAATCTGTTATAACCTTTACATATACTACTTAAATGAAGAAAGGTAAAACACCCCACAAAATTCCAACTGATAATCACCCTATTCAGACACTGGTGAATATGTCCCTCAGTCCAAGCCGACCTTCTTCATCAGAGGTAAGAAAATCTTGTAAACTAAAATATAAGAAAATATAAGAAAAGCTTGCTTAATATTGTTTTTGAAAAGTTTTGAGAAAGCAAAATATGGATTATATAAAGTATTAGATATTAACTCCACTGTGTATCCCATGGTCTGATTACAATTATTTTATCCCAGTTCTTTTATCTATAGTTCATTTCCTCTAAGTGCTCTGATTTTATTGGGTTCCCAGTGCATTGATCCTATCACCTGTTTTTTGTTTTTGTTTGTCTGTTTGTCTTATTCATCACCTTTTGATGCCCTCCACACTTTAAATACCATAGAACGATCTGGATTACTCTCTTTCTGATACTTTTGACTCCTTGGCCCTCTCTCATTTCATTATACTGCTTGGCAAAACAAAAACCCTGGTTAATCTAATTCTTCACCTATACTATACCTATGCCTACAGTGGAATGTGGCTGGAGAAAAATATACCAACATGAACATTGTTCTCACTTTAAATTCAGGACCATGAATCTCAACTGGAACCTTTTGCTGGTAGGCAGACTGTCTTCCACTCACTCATTTACTTTTCCACTGTTCTAGACAACTATTGCATACCTTCTCAAACCCCCAGTACCTTCTCTCCATTTTCTCTTTAAACCAGCTCCAATCAAGTTTTCACTCCACTACTGCACCAAAATTGCTCTTGTTAAATTCACCTCTACATTACTAAATCTGTTGTTTAATTCTTATCCTGCATATTTTTGGTCTATCTGTGTGCAGCAGTTGACACTGTTGATCACTCATATTTAACATAATTAATTCACTTGGCTTCTAGCATACACATCTTGGTTTTCCTCCTGCTTTCCTTGTTGTTCATTTTCAGTCTTCTTTGCTGGGTTTTCTTCTTCTTCCTGATCACTTAATAGTGGAGAATTTCAGGGGCCAGCTCTTTGTTTCTTCTCCATCTGCACTCATTCCTTGGTGGTCTCATTCTGTATAATAGCTTTAAATACCAACTTTAGGCTAAGGATTCCCAAATTTATATCCTCAGTCTAGTCTTCTTTCCCAAACTGCAGATTCATATTTTCAGCTTCCATCCCACATGGATGGCCAATACACATCTTAAAATTAGCATATCTCAAACTGAACTATGGATCTTTTCTCCCTCCCCTAAACATGTTCTCCCCATGACATTCTCCATCTCAGGTGATAGCAAATCCATCCTTTGAGTATCTGTGGCCACATGCCTTAGAGTCATTTTTGTTTGTTTGTTTCTCAAACTTCACTTCCAATGGACTAACTATAGCTTCAAATTATATAACAATCTGACCATTTCCCATCACTTCTGCTAGTACATTGGAATGAGCCACCATCATCTCACACTTTATTCAGATAGCATCATAACAGGTTCCATTTTCTTGTCCCTTACAGCCTGTTGTATTAACCCTTTAATAGTTATTGAATATAGTAAACTTTGGAAGTAGAACATTGTATGTGTCCTATTGAAAGGCAAAATGAAATACAGGGCACCATTTATAAAGTATTCTTGCCCCCAGCTGACTAATTTGTGTCAGTTGAAGACTATACACAGTTAACTGTTTACAAGAGGGAAGTCTTTGTTTCAAAAACGCTTGTTGAACAAGGTTGGCTGGGAAGATAGTAGAGTAGGAGGACCCTAAGCCTGCTTCATCCAAGGATACAACTAGATAACACATCATTGTAAATAACCAAGAAAACTACCTAAGAAAGACTGGAAGAACAAACTCTACAACTAAGGTAGGGAAGAGGCCACATCAAAGGAGGTAGGAAGGGCAAAGACAGGGTCTAGGAGCAAAAGGGACTATGGCCATCTTTGGTGGAGAAGGAGAGGTGTAGAGAAAGGCAGAAACAGACTTTCACACTGGGGCACCTACAAACAGGGAGGATGAATCCCCATAATATTTGCCTTTGAAAATGAGAGGGGCCAAATTTCTTGAGTTCTTACAACAAAGGGAGTTAAAGCCTGGAATTTTAAAAAATCAGCATACTGTACTCTGGAAGAGTATAGAGGGCTGTAGAAAGCCCCACCCATAAAGAGCACAACAAACAGTCCATGAAGACACAGGGTAGACATGGTTTGAGACATGTCAGGGGAAGTGGGAGGGTGAGTGAATTGTCATCACAGAGTGTGACCCAGAGACACAGGGATTGCTGAGAGACGCCTCCAGGAAAAGGAGCAGACAGGCACCATTTCCCTTCCCTGTTCCCCCTCCTCTGGAATAAATACTGGCCACCTGTGGGAACCAGGGTGGTGCCTACACTCGTTACCTAACTTGCTTGTACTGAGTCCTGCCCCCTCATGCTTTGGCAGATCAGCCCTTCCCAGTCACACCTACCTCAGTCCCCACATTGCACATTCCTCCCCCAGAAGACTGGTGCAAACCCTGCCAACACCAAATCTCCTGACACATACATTTGGCAGGGCCTCATTTCTGGGAGCAGGAGGGGCAGATCCCATTTCACAAGCTGACTACTACACACCATGTTAAAGTGTATGCCACTCCTGCTGAGGACCACAATAGGCAAAGAGAGCCTCTGCAGACAACTGGACTGAAGGAAGTAAGATGCTAGGACTCAACAGCAGAGCACATGCAATGCACATAGGAAACATTCCCTGAAACACTAGGCCCTGAGGAACAGGGGACACTGTACTGCAAGGTACTATAGGACCTCTTCTTCATAAGACTGTTATTGTTAAGAGCAATATTAGGAAAGCTGACTTTCCTAATACAGAGAAATGGACACAGAAAGTCGGACAAATAGGAAGGCAGAGATATCTCCCAAATGAAAGAACAGGACCAATCCACCAAAAGAGACCAAAGCAAAACAGTTAAAAATAATATGCCTGATAGAGAATGTAAAGTAATGATCATAAAGATACTTACCAAACTTGAGAAAAGATTGAAGACATCAGTGAGACCCTTAACAAAGAGATTTAAAAAAGAGAGAGACAGATAAATAACACAGTAAATGAAATTGAAAATATATTTGATGGAATAAATACCAGGCTAGATGAAGCAGAGGAACAAATTAGTGACCTGGAAGACAAGTAATGAAAAGTAACCAAGCTGAGCAAAGGAGAGGAAAGAAAATTATGCAAATTGAGAATAGTGCAAGGGAACTCAGTGACTCCATCAAGCATAATAGTCATAAGGGATCTCAGAAGAAGAAGAAGAGGTTAGGGGGCAGAAAATTTACTTGAAGAAATAATAACTGAAAACTTCCCTATTCTGAAGAGGATAATAGATGTCCAGATCCAGGAGGCACAGAGAGCTCTCCAAATATTCAACCCAAGGAGTTCCACGTGAAGACACATAGTAATTAAAATGGCAAAAAGTAGTGATAAAGAAAAAAGTTTTTAAGCAACAAGAGGAAAAAAAAAGACTGTTAAATACAAAGGAAACCCCATAAGGCCATCAGTGAATTTTTCAGCAGAAACTTTGCAGGCCAGAAGGGAGTGGCATGATATATTCAAAGTGGTGAAAGGAAAAATCTACAACCAAGAATATTCTATCCAGCAAGGCTATAATTCAGAATAAAAGGAGAGAGAAAGAGTTTCTCAGACAAAAACTAAAGGAGTTCATGAATACTAAACCAGCCCTACAAGAAATATTAAAGGGGACTCTTTGAGTGGAAAGGGAAGACCATAAGTGAGAGTATGGAAAGTAGAAAGCAGAAAAGCAGTAAAAATAAGTATTTCTGTTTTATAATATTGATATCATAAATATCAAAGGACTCATAAAATAAAAAGATGTAAAGTATGATACCATATACCTAAAATGGGGTGAGGGGAAAAACAATGGGTTTAGACTTAAACTGACCATCAACTTGATATACACTGCTATATGCAGAAGATGTTATATACAAAACTAATAATAACCACAAATCAAAAACCAGTAATACATATGCAAAGAATAAAGAGAAAGGAATCCAGTCTATCACTAAAGAATGCCAACACACTGTAAAAGAGAACAAGAGAAGGATCAAAGAAAATCTGTAGAAATAACCATAAAACAAATAACAATGGAAATAAATACATACCTATAAATAATTACTTTGAATGTAAATGGACTAAATGCTCTTATCAAAAGACATACAGTGACGGAGTGGATGAATTAACAAGACCCATCAATATGCTGCCTACAAGAGACCCATTTCAGACCAAAAGACACCTGCAGGTTGAAAGTGAGGGGCTGGAGAAATATTTATCATGAAAATGGATGTCAAAAGTAACTTGGGATAACAATACTTACATTGGACAAAATAAGACTTTAAAACAACTGTAACAAGACAAGAAAGGACACTATATAATAATATTTATGTACCCAACTTAGCACAGAAATACATAAAACAGTTAATAACAAGCATAAAGGAAATAATTGATAATAATACAATAATGGGGCACTTTAACACCCCACTTAAATCAACAGACAAATCATCCAAATAGAAAATCAACAAAGGTATAGTGGCTTTGAATAACATACTGGACCAGATGGATTTAACATATATTCAGAACATTCTATCCTAAAACAGCAGAGTACACATTCTTTTCAAGTGCACACAGAACACTCTCCAGATAGATTAGGTCACAAAAGAAGTCTCAACAAATTTTAAAAAATCAAAGTCCTACTGTGCATCTTTTTTGACCGCAAGCTCTAAAACTAGAAAACCACAGGAAAAAAATCTGTAAAGAGCACAAATACATTGAGGTTAAAATAGCGTGCTGCTAAACAACGAATGGATCAACCAAGAAATTAAAGAAGGCAAAAATTACATGGAAACAAATGAAAATTGAAAAGACGATAGTCCAAAATCTTTTCCTCAAGTGTGGTCCTAAGAGGGAAGTTTATAGGAATACGGGTCTACCTCAAGAAGCAAGAAAAATCTCAACCTTACACCTAAACAAGCTAGAAAAAGAACAAAACCCAAACTCCGCAAAAGCAAGGAAATAATAAAGATTACAGCAGAAATAAATGATTTAGGCAGCCAT